CTGTATTCTATATTTTTTCTTCAAAATTTTATATTTTATTATTGAGATTTACAATTTTGATCTCTTATTTTTGTATTGAAGATATTAACATGAAGCTAAATGCTCTTCTGTTAATTATTAGCTATATTATAATTTTGAAGAAAAAAACCAAACTGCCTTGTTGAACCAGAAAATGGTCATGGTTGTTGTGTTGTGGCAAATAATGCCATTGCCAGATGATGCTTCTTGTTAGAAAAGGGATGAAGGTAGAACATAAGTTAGGATAACATCTATCTGAATATGATAGCTACTAAGCTAGATCTCCGTGATGCTGATGTGTTTAAAATTGGGTTTTCATGTATAGAATCACTTTAGTAGGTTTATTTGGTTCTTATGAAGAAATGGTTTACTTACGCTGTAGTTATCTATATCGATCATTTTGTAAAGGAAATTGGTAAAATGTTTAAATAAGTCGGTGATGAACTAATATGCATAAAATCTCTAGAGTCAGTATTACTATCTATTATCGGAAGAAAAAAGGATTAAATTCTATGATACTGCGCATCTTTGAACAGACTCCTAAAGCTGAAATTCTGTTGAATACTCTCCCTGAATTACAGTTTTGGAAAAATAGGACTGATACTCAAAAAAGGTGACATCCATGGAGTTGTATAATTTTTGAACGACAGAAGAGTAGCATTTGTAACTTTTTCTGATTAGATGAATATCTTAGGAACACACATTTTAAGGGTTTGGTGTGACAATGTTGGTAAATATGAACAAGGGTGATGTAACCAAAAATTTTAAAGGAAAAGTCAAAAAGAAAAAGACTTAACGTGAAGAAATTTTAGGACTTCCGAAGGTTTCTAAACTTTTAACACCCAACTAGATATTCTATTTATAAGGTATGCGGCTCAATTATATATTTTTGATAATTGAAGGTTCCTTAATGTCAGTGACTCACTATATATTATGGAAAAAGAATGGTATGGGGTGTATTTGATGCTAGGAAAGAGTATGTTTGGCATTATGACAAATTTCAGAGGAAAAAGACTTGAGTTTTTTTTATTAATAAATGAATGACGAATTACAAAGATAATCAAAATTTGGACCAAGGCGAAAATGCCATAACATAACTGGATCTGAAATAATAGAATTAAGATATGTACAAACTCGGACGCACAACTTGAATGAACTTGTCCATGTAGAGGAGATTCCCTTTGATCAAGTAGAGGCCACCACACAATATTATAATGGATTTGGCTAGCAGTAAATTTTTGTCATCGAGTCTGATTTGGGATAGGAATGAGCGAGTGGGAGTAGGAGAATGGGTTGATACGATGTGGTTGGGTTCTCCATGAATTACTCGAGGTGAAAACCTAGGAAGAAGAAGATGAGCATTCGGTAGAAATAACATAGGTTCTGTTCCATTATTGCTTGCTGAAGAAATAACTTAGGTTCCGTTCCATTATAGCTTACGAAAATTTTTGTAGACTGGAAATTCCTAATTCCCTTTTTATGGTTCGATGGTTATATCAATTTTTCCCCACGCCTTTGCATTCATTTTGGTAGTTGTCATGATTGTTTGTGTCGTGATCTACCGGAGATGGCCAATAAGATTGAGAATTTTATCTTTTCTGTGGGGTTGGATTGGGATAATTGAATTTAGAATCATGATAAACGGACTATATTTGTGAGCATGATGTCAGGTTTTCATTGCAACAATATTCGGTTCAAATTTTTATACTGACAAATCTTTACTTGTCCAGGTCATCATATAATAGCAAGCTTTAATGTTGAGAAGCCGGTGTCCTTGTTGAGAGACAATTTCTTGCAGCTTGAAAATGATATTTTTGACGAGATAGGCTTTCCCACTAGCAAAGTATATACTTTGACCCCTTTTGCTACTACATATGTACTTCATACTATTTATAGATACTGATTAGTTTTTTGAACCAGGTGGTTATCTTAGCTCTCGAGCCTTTAAGTGGATCGAACATGACAAGGGTTGTGTTTGGGGTTGATCCTGATGTAGGATATTCAAAGATTTCTTCGACTGCACTAAGTTTGATAAGGGCTTCATTTGAATCATTGGTTGTAGGTGAACCACCTCTGCGATTGACTAAGTCCTTGTTTGGGGATCCATCCTTATTTGAGGTGCAAAAGTTCCCTGGAGGAATTACTATAATTCCCCCACAAAGTGCATTTCTTCTACAGAATGTGCAAATCCCATTCAACTTTACCTTGAATTTCTCTATTTTTCAAGTACTAGAAAATTTTGATGCAATGACGAGTCAGCTGAAGGCTGGATTGCATCTAGCCACATACGAGGTTTGACAGTATTTATTTTTCTCTTGATTTTGATTTGCTATTTATCTTTCTTTCTTTTGAGTTTTAGTGCTTTAGATTTTTTGGAGAAAAGATTCAAAGAATGTTATATGCCATATTAGATTTGTTTGCTATAGGATCTGCAGTGCAGACTCTAATGGTTTTATTTTGTGAATTTCAGAACTTGTATATTAGGTTGTCGAATTCCAAAGGGTCCACAGTTACCTCCCCCACAATTGTTCAGTCATCTGTTCTACTGGCTGTGGGGAGTCCATCAACGCCAAGATTGAAGCAACTAGCTCAAACCATCACAGGCTCTCATTCAAGAAACCTTGGCCTGAACCACACTGTATTTGGTAGGGTTAAGCAAGTTCGTCTTTCATCCATTTTGCAACATTCTCTTGGAGGTCATGGAGGTTCAAACTCGGGGTCCCCGTCTCCTGCCCCCTTGCCTCAGCCTCAATACAATCACCACCACCACCATCACAACCATCATCATCACCACCATCACCATCACCACCACCACCATCACCATCACCATCACCACGACCATAGTGCTAATCTAGCTCCTGCAATTTCACCTGCTACATCAACAGAGAAAGGTGCACCTGCGCCTGAAGACTATTCACCTTCCCCTGAGAGAATTCCTACCGGATCTCCACGGAATTATGAGGCAAATCCTCCAGGAGGCTGGCACAGGAATAAAAGGACCAAGGGGAAAACTGGACCGAACTCTAATTTTGCCCCTGTTGTTGCACCCAAAATTTCTCCTCACCATTGTGCTGCCTCACCAAATGTAAACCCACCGGCATTGGCACCCAAGCCTAAACACGGAGCCATCCCCCATTTGGTTCCCACTTCAAGTCCACTTCCAAATGTAGTTTTTACTCATGTTCAGCCTCCATCAAAGAGTAAGTCAAATAAAGAGGATCCTGACAGAACACCCTCTGTTTCACCATCAGCATCCGCTTCTTTATGTGAGTGAATCAAGCTTTATGAATATTTAAAGCTACATTTTTTACATCTCAGTGCTGCAAAGCCTGCACATCAGTTAAGATTATTATCATAAATCATATCAGTTTTTTTTTTTTGAAAAATAAATCATATCACAGTTAGTTCATCAGAATTATGTGGTCAGCTTAATTAATATTTGTATGCATGTTAGGCTATTTTCTTGATTTGTCGAACTTCTATGATCATTTCTAGAAGTTTAATAATCACTGTAGTGGTTGGTTTCCGTGCCTGCATTCTCTTACATTGATTGTATATGATTAGAGTTGGCTTCCTTGCCCATGTAGGGCGTTGGAAAAAAAATTCCCTATTTAGGGCTCTACTCAAATTATTTATTGAACTGGGGTGTTTGCTACAGTAACCTCATTGGTCGCCAAGTGTTCCATAGGTAGCCAAGTGATCCTTGCGACAAAGCCTCTTCTGTTGCAGCAAATCTTCTCTTTTCCCTCGTTGTTGCAGCTCCATAGGTCGCCGTGTGCTCCTGGAGACCTATGGTGGTCACTGTAGCATTCACCCGACATAAGCAAATAATTGTTCGACTGCACTATATAAAGAATTTTTTTCAAATGCATTATTCAAACACTTTTGCCGATTAGAGTTTGGCTTGAACTTTATTCCAGAATTTTTGTGCATGAATGCTGATATCCTTTCCCTTGGCAGCCTCAGCAGGTGTTAAAATTGCGCAATGGCAATGGCCACTTTCACTCCTATCAGCTATTATATTACTTGTATAACAACAGCCTATTTTTTTATGTGGTATAATCTGACGTTGACGGCAATGCTGCAAGTAGAGTTGTATGGATGAGAGCGACGCAAATGGCGTGGCCTCATCTCTCACATTGGAGTGGATGTGTTTGGTGCTGTAAATAGTTTGATTAAATGTGGTGGCGGGAAGCATTTTCAGGTCAAAGTCACATTGGTGGCAGGCCATTATAATGTCATTGCCACTGTTTTGTGTATTCTCTTTTTTGCGGAAATCAAAGGCAAGCCTACTTCAGTTTTTGTAGCATGTTAATCAACATTATCTAAAAAATATATATATATTCAGTGCTTTTATATATTAGTATAGTTTATATTTTAATATATTCAAATAACATATTTGTACAATCTCACAAATATATATATTTTATCAATTAAATGGAGATTAGTATAAAACTATACTATATAACACAATATGCTCCAACTTCTTAACCTTCCCACCATCTGTTGTCCCCTTCTTTTAGTTACTATTCCTCCTACCCTTAGATTTCATTCTCTTGAACAAATCGGATACTAAAACCAACATGATTTCACTTTCATAACCCATTCTTTTATCCTACACTATTCCATCAATCTCTAGCTTTATTAGTTTTCTTAATGTTCCTACTTCACAGGCTTCCATGTCGTTTAGCTTGAGCAACCTCGTCCCCTAGAACGACGGCTTGTATAATGCCTTCCAATAACCCCACTCATACCAAAATCGTCCTATTAGACGTCTCTAGTTACATTCCAAATGTAGTATGTTTTTGACTTTTCCTTCAATTTCACCAATCAAGCAACAAGACCGAGGATGGACACAAGATTTTATGAAAGGAATCGAATTTATAAAATTTTAGAAGAGACAAAAATAGATTATTAATAGAAAAGACAGAAAAATATCTAAAATATGTCTACCACAATATGTTTCAGGTATTTAGTCCATCATGTCACCCTGCGTGCCTGGTGGGAAGAAGACAGAGAAGACACCGGTTTTTCAACTCCGTGATGGGCTACCGCCATATCAATGTGTTCCAGATGTGGCATATTTCGTCTTAAGGCAGCATGTTGAATCTCCATCGATGTGGGCAATTTCCCCCCCTTTAGGTATGATATAAAAACTTGGTAGCAGCCTCTTGGAACTGCAGATGATAGTTGCTGAACAAAGTAAATTGCATGCTTTTTACTTATGGCGTCTTTCTTGTAAACATTACAATGTCTGCTATTGAAGTGTCTAAAACCTTAGGTTTCATGATCAGTATTTGTTAGCTCTTAAAGAAGAGTACGCAACTCGCCCGGCCATGGAGGGGACAATAAATGACCCTACAAATCCAAAGCACTATCGGAGATACCGTACGTAACTCTTTTCACCTGATGCCTCCTAAATTAGTTCGATATTACTCTGCATTATATAATTCAAGCAGCTTCTCTGCCCAAGTTTGATTATGGTGACAACTTGAATCTTAACTCTGCTTCTAAACTCAGGTGTTCATGTTACAATGGAATCCTTGATGGAGGATAAAGAGCTTAAAGCCACCATCAAAGATCTCATACAGCGGAGCGGGCAACCATATCCTCCTCTTGTTGAAGCCGTAAATCAACCAAGTGGAGAAACAGACGCGATAGCTTTGTAGAAGCAGAAGTACTATGTCAGTAATCCGAAATCACTTCACAATTTACTTATTTTAAAGTTATTTTACCGTTTTTTAAATATAGAATACTTATTTTACATTATGAAATAAATAAAAAATAAAATTTGATTTGGTTCACGTAACCACGATTACGGTTCAGATCAATTTCGATTAATAAGTTTTTGTTGCTCAACCCTACCATTTCACCCCTTGAGAGAGGGAAAGAGATGTTGGTAACCCTGACCCTAAGCATGAGTCCCCAACGTACTAGAGTTCGATTATGTATACCAGTGTTCCCTACATCTTTTACCCTCATTGAGTAGTGACTGTTTAGCTAATGATATTTTAACAACAATACAATAGCATTTAGCTAATGATATTTTAACAACAATACAACAGCAAAACCATTAGCTAAACAGTCACTGCTCAATGAGGGGAGTGAAAAAGTTGCTTCTTCTAGCAATCCTAACATCTGCAGTAACAACTAGCCTCAAATGTTACACATACAAACAGTGATGGACCGAAGGGGACGGGTGGGAGCAGTCTCCCTCCCCTGAAAATTTCAAATTCTCAAATGTTTTAGATATTTTCTATTGATAATCTGTTTTCACCCTTCTTAAAATTTTATAAGTTCAGCTCCCTAATATAAAATCCGACGTTCGTCCCTACAGACTACTCTACTCTGCTGAAGGAAGTAGTTGTAATAATTAAATACAAAACTAAACCCAAATCTAAAAGTTTCACACTTGATTTATCCAAGTTATCTATGACATGCCTAATTTGGGAAAATCAAACAGACATCCAAACCTTTAGCAATACTAAATCCCCTACTTATCTAGTTTATCAAAAGCGAACACAAGAGTCACCTTACCATCAAAACCTAGTAATACATCATCAAATACAAATTACCTTCAGCACAATATCAAATCGTGCAAGATGTTGAAATATTGAATGAGACCATATAGCTATAAAATCAAAATACCATTCCTCTTGAATGGAATTCTGAGTGCTAGAATTTTCAACTATAGTAGCCCACAAGACCACTTAATATATAATCCAGGGTTGACTCCAAAGATGTCTTAGTAGAGTTGTAAGCACTAAAAAGTTCAAAAGGATCACTATTTGTAATATGCTGGAGCTATTGTTGAGCTACTTGATGAGATATTTTTCTGTTCTCACCCATTTGGGACATAAGCAGAGCATTTTTTTTTCATCACAGCTACTAGATGAACCAAAGATACGGGTAAAACCCCAGGCACATTTACCTCAGCAAAACCGATCAAGTTTAAGAAGCTGTTAAACAGGTAAATGGCCGTGCTTACCGCTTAGGTCCTTGTTAGAGAAGTTCATTCAACTATATAGAGAATTAGAAGAATTAACATTAACAAAAAAATGTAAAGAAGAGCAACATTATGCGACAATGGTATTGTAATCACAAGGAAGATTAAATTATAGATTCCATTATGGGGAATCAGACTCCAGTTTTGAAAATTTAAAGAAATCATGAAGGGGAAGTATATAGTCTAATGATCTGCTTATGCATAAATACTTACCAATGGTCAGAATTTCAAAATGTCACTGAACCGTGAGATAAAGACCTTACTTATCAAGGATAAGAAAGCATAGTTGGCCTAGAAATGAAAAAGTCCCAACATTTAAACAAGGAAATAGAGCACTGAAAGGGTAATAAAACAGAACAATTCACATTGGCTTGTGTACTCTAGTTACAAAAATGCTTCACTCTCAATGCAACAACGTCAAAATTCTTTCTCTAGTTTGCTTTACGTTATGGACACGAGTTATTGATTAAGTCACCGGGCAATTCACTGGAAGACCTACTTTGATTGATAATTCTTTTTCTAGTTGCTTCTTCTCAAAGGCCCATGTCATGTTTATTGCCTAAACAAGGTTCACGGAATTTTGAATCTCCACATCAAGCCTCACCGAGTCCATTAATCCTGCATTAAAGTATTCGACCTGCTGGTTTACTCACATTGTACCACTATGTGCCAACAGACCTTGAAATTGGTGCATACTCCTCAACAGTTCTAGTCTAGTTCAAGTTAACTAGTTAATCAAAAGGGTTACAGCATAGTGGTCGGTCAAATCTCAAAGTGAAACATTCCTTGAATGCCTCCCATGTGAGATTCGGTTCCTCCTGCTCCATCTGACAGTACCATATTGCACCTTACTAACATGTGAAAAGGCACCAAACAAAACGCATATATTTCTGTTGTCTGAGAATGCTAAGTGGAAAAGAATTTATCACACCGGTGTAACCAAATTAACTAATCCTCCGGCCCACCAAATGTTGGAAAACCAAGCTTTGTGTACCGCAACACCACTTCAAACCCTGTCAACGTTTCCATCTGATTGTCTGTTCTAGAATGGTTATTGTTGCCCATGCTCCCATCAAACTTTCTTTCGCAGTTCTGGTTGAAACCAACAAGTGGCTGCAATGGTAGTGACAGTTGTTGCAATTCATTTCCCAATTTAGACTCGATTGAGTGATGCTTGCTACCATTCCCGACTTGGCTTCTTCCACTCTTGTTTCATCAATTTTTTGTGCTTCTAGTAACAAAGCCCTAAACTCTTTTGCGAGGTCGCCTGTAGTGTCTGGCTCTGGGGTTAACTTGTTAGGGTCACAGGTTATGGATCGAGTCACTAAACGAATCATGGCTTTGATTGATAAACCTTACCTATCAATTCCTACCTTGTGAAGAACCTATAATTAAATAGTATACGGAACTCGTCAAAGGGAGCTTCTAACCTTAGACTTGTTAGGAAGAGAGTTTTAAACCTCAATAAATTGGAATATTTTGTCTTATTTTATCACTAAGAATCGTCCCCTTAAAGGTTTCATAGGGTTTTATTTTTGTAGAAGAAACTATAATTGAGGAAACTAAACTGAAGGACTCTTGATTGCAATAAAATATTTTCTAAATAAATTATTCTAAATAGAAATATTACTAATATAAACCTATTAGTCTACTTTACCTTTTGGGCACCTTTGACTTCTGTCTTGCCCAAAAAGGCAACCGTAATACTTCACCACAAAATATAACTGATTATAAATTAATTGTCTGCCTTCTTTTTTCTAGGATCTAATATTTCAGTTAGAAAAAACTGAGCAAGAAGACCGAAGATAGAATGTTTAAACAGTATGCCAAAAAATTCTACATTATTTATTGATCAGAAATTCTTAGTGTTCTACTTCGCACTACAGATTTGTGTCATTCAATAACACAAGGAACAGTTACAGATGCTATGAAATTTCAGAAATGCAGCTAATGTTCATTAGGATAAGAGTTTACAAAGAAAAAATAGAAAAGAGAGAAAAAAGTCAGAGATCCTTGAGTTGCCTTTCATATTACAGGTTCAAAGTTTTCTATGGAGTCATACATTGTACAACTTACCTCTACATAACACTGAACTAAGACAAACAGATGATTAACACAGAAGAGAAGTATGGAAACTTGAGAACCTCAGTACCAGTTGTAATAAACAAAGAAACTGACTAGGGATGATCATCATGTCTTTTTTCCCCACCTCAAGCTCAAAATTTAGTCATGTATCCTCAAAACCACCTTGTTGGCCGAAAGAAACTCCCACGCAAGCAGACTCTAAAGGTTTAGTTAATTGAGATGATTCCCAGTAACCATAACCTCAAAGAAATCCAGATTAATTTATACCAGCAGACCAATGTAATTGCAAGCATGATAGGCCTAAAGGTCATAGTGTTTGCTTAGAGTGACCTCAGGATTAAATCCATCACAAGAAGTTGACAGCGAAAACAGACTGCAACCAACAACTTAATTGCAGACCTAGAAGTCTGTCGAACCGACACTGCAACAATGATCAACAGAGTCTAGTGAAAAAAAAGGAACAGATTAAATACAGTACCGACCAGCTCAAGACTCTACCTGATGAAACTTGAAGAAAAAGCTAACTAAACTAAAGAAGAATAGTTGGATGATGAAAATGGGGTGTCAATAATTACCAAAGTTTTGAATCAATCGTCCCCGGAAGGAAATAATGTAAGAACCTTCCTTCCACCATTCCCATTGGCTGATTCCAAATCTTCCACATAACTACTGGGAGCTTGATTATGCCCTGGCGTCCCCCCCATCCTGTGCATTGGCTGCTGCGTCTGCCTGCCTAAGAAAGGATGCTCGAAATGGCTATCTGGGGATGACCCGTAAAGCCCCATTTGTGGCCGATGATACTGAGACAGCAGATGAGGATGCCCTACCGCGGCCGCCAACATTTGCTGCTGTTGCTGGTTATGCTGCAGTGCTGGCACTGGCACGAAGGGTAAGAAATGCTCTGAATTAGCCCGACCAGGATGAAGAAAGTGTGGTGGAACCGGTGAGCTTGCAAACAAATGGTCCGTCGCTGGATCAGTGGAGGCCCCTAATCCGGCACCACCAGATCCGCCGTTGGCACCGCCTCCACTACCACCAGACAAGCCTTGCATTCTCTTCAAATAAAGGCGATACTTCTGCAAATGACTCGCAACGTTTTCTCTTGTCAAGCCATCGACACTCATCAGCTGCATTATGGTCTTAGGGACAGCGTTCTTGATCCCCAAATGAGCCACGGCGTCAACGAATCTCTTGTGGAGCTGTGGGGTCCACACGAGGCGAGGCCGCTTGAGAGTGCGCGCGGGCTCATCTCCGGCTGCCCCGGATCCCAGGTCCCCGGAATCGGCGGCAAATTCGAACAAGGAGGGTTGAGAAGGGGGCTGTAGAGCCGAGGAAGGCGGAGGAGGAGGAGGCTGTTGCTGTTGCTGTTGGGCATGGTTTGGGTTGCGAATATCGAAGGCGAGAGCAAGATTAGGAGTAATTAGGGATTGGGAAAGAGGCATAAGCTCCTCCGGGGAGGGCAGCTCTTCCTCCCATCTGGAGAACCAATTTGAGTCTTCTTCCCTCATAATTATTCAAAGAAATGCAAACTCAAATTGGAGCTGGAAATCCAAAGCCTCTTCTAAGCTCACTGCACCAATCAACAAGCAAACAAAAAGATTATCGAGTTTCAGAATTTACTCACATATTTGTGGAATTAGTAACAAACAATTATCTATTCTTAAAAAAAAATAATAATAATAAGAGCAAGAAAATCTCACGTTGAGAGCGAAGGAAAGACACAGCGCGGAGGGAAGTTCGAGGTGGATCTTTGTTTTCTTCTTTTCAGCTTTTACCAATGCTTACTCCGTTTCATGCTTTTCTTTTTATTCCTTTCCTTTTTTTCCCATATTCTTTTTATTCATTTTTCATGTTTGTCTTCTCTAATAAAATTAAATAACTACAATAATCATGTTTTTATTTTATTTTTTATTCCTTCTAATTTCAAATATTCCATTTTAATTATCTACATCATTAATTAATTAAAAACTAATCACTCACATCAAATAAACGATGTGGCGTGCTGATAAAAAAATCATTACGAATTGTTTTTTTTAAATAATTATATATTCCATCTTCCCTAGGTTAAGGGTTTAATACTAATGAACAAAATTGTTTTCTTAAATGTTTAATTTTTAAAAAATATGCATATTATGTATACTACGCTGATAGAACATGTATAAGATCGTACTCACGCCTATCCCACCATTAGAGATGTGCATTTGACCTGAACACATTATGTTATAACTCAACCCAACTTGATCGAGTTGATTTTTTTTTTCTAATTCATGTTTGAGTTAGGCCGGGTCAAGTTCGATTTTAGGATGAAAAAACTCTTACAAGACTCGATCCGTGATAATATTATAAATATACCATATATATATATATATTAAAAGACAATTGCAATAACACCCGTTTGAGGTTTTTACATAAAAAATTAGGTCAGATTTTAGGTTAGGTGAAATCTTCTTAAACCCATTGAAAGATCTACTTTTTAAATTGGGTTCGTGTGGGCCAAAAACTCTACCCGACCCATGATCATTCCTACTCAACCCTCACAATGGGTCTAACATCCCTTTACCTCCTCTGTTGGTGAGATTGTGGACCAAATCCCACCCATTTTCTATATATGCAAAACCCAAAATTAAGAATTAAGTGAAGATGCTAGAGAACAAAATGGTAACCTCCCAACAGAAATATTCTGCAAGAACTATTTAAGAAAGAGAGATACTTGAGAAATAATGATGGTAGGGGATGCAACCAAGTGGTTCAGTTGAAGTTGTTTATCTTAGGAATGATACATTTTTTTTTATCTTAAGTGGTACAACAAATTATTGTTGGATGAAAACCCATCATAATTGAAATTAGGCTCAAGAAAAATATGAAGTGGTTTTCATTGTGTGTCAACCCTACAAATTTCAAATTCTCATCTATTTTGAACATTTTATTTTTATTTTCTATTGATAATATGTTTTCGCCCCTAAAAATTTATAAATTTGCCTCTCCTAAAATTTTATAAGTTCACCCCTAACATAAAATCATACTTCCGTTCCTAGACATGTCGGATATAAAACTCATGTATGGTGTAACTTATAGATATGGAATCATAACTTTCACAAAGTGTTAAAAGTACCATCTAAAAAATGGACATGATCATTGGTTGAGTAAACTTTAAGATAAAAGTGACCAAAGAATGTAACAAAAATGTTCATAAAGGGATGGAGGATGCCATATGAGGGTTTCACACGTTCAGGTGGGTATAAGTCTCACTGAGTTTATCAGCATTCATCTTCTATGATCTTCTGCCACTATCAAGCGTAGTCACCTTGAACTAATCAACTTGAATCCCAAGCTTCAGATTGGGGAAGAAACGGAATTGCAAATACAAAAAACCCGATCTCAAACTTAATGAATATGCCCTCTTAAGAATTGATTGCATTAAGTAATTGACCGAAGTTGCACATTTTATTGCTTAATCATTTTTCTATCCGAATAATGCTCATCAATCTAATTCTTCACCGGATCATATTTTGCATCCATGAATAACACATTTTCTCATCATCTGTTAGGTATGACTCATAAATATACCGTACAGGGTTACTTTTGTAAATATATACCAGAGTTTATTTATTATAAAAGATGTAACCAAAACCTATGAGACATTGAATAAAAATTCTAGCGCCGCCTAGGGCACCGAGGACGTAAGCACATTGCTGAACCTCGTTAAAATTCTTGTGTTCTTTCTGTTTTCTTTACCCGATTATTCAACACCATCTTTACATGTACCTTTTGTGGTTAAAACCGTAAACTCTAACAGGTAGAAGCAAATAATACCATGTAGATTAATGTGGACCATGCTGTAACAAACAACTCCTTATTTATCCAAGTTATCTATGGCAAGCCTAATTTGGGAAAAGCAAACAGACATCCAAACCTTTTGCACTACTAAATCCCCTACTTATCTAGTTTATCAAAAGAGAACATTGAGTCACCCTACCATCAAAACCTAGCAATATATCGCCACAAGATCACAAGTGAAATATCGAATACAAATGCCCTCTAGTACAATTTACCGTGCAAGATGTTAAAACACATATAGCTACAAAATCAAACTATCATTCCTCTTGGATGGAATTCAAAGTAGAATTTTCAGTACTAGTAGCCCACAAGACCACTTGATGTATAATCCAAAGTTGACTCTAAAGATGTCCTAGTAGATTTTTCAGCACCAAAAAGCTCAAAGGATCACTATTTGTTATATGTTAAAGTTATTGTTGAGTTACTGAGGAAATATTTTTCTTTTCTCACCCATTTGGAATATAAGCAGAGAAAATTTTCACCACAGCCACAACATGACCCAAAGATTCAATCCTAGACATATTTACCTCGGAAAACCACTCTAGGTTAATCAGCAGTTAAACAGATGAATAGCCATTCTTACCTATTAAATCTTTGTTAGAGAAGTTCATTCAACTATCTAGGGAATTGGAAGAACAAACAAAAATATGTAAAGAGGAGGAACATCATACAACTATGGTAAATCGAAGAACATACATTTCAGACGATAAGATCACATGCAAATTACCTATAAACAGAAATCTGAATGTAACAGCAAATTATACCACTGATGCTGCCATTCCAAGGCTAAAGTAAACAATCATGATCAATTGCAAGGTTAAACTTAGGCCACTGCTATTATCAATTTAGATATTACAGATAGGCAATGTAACCACAAGGAAGCTTATATTATAGAATCCATTATGGGAAATCAGACTCCAGTTTTGAAAATTTAAGAAAATCAAGGAGACTCGTATGGTCTGATGCTCTGCTTACTTATATAAATAGTTTCCTATAGTAAGAATTTCAAAATTTCACTAAACCATGAGATAAAAATCCTACTTATTAAGGAAAAGAAATCATAGGAAGGGCCATTTAAAATATTCTTACATGTCATCTTTTTATTGGATGGGACCATGGATGATGTGGTAGGAAGGGCCTACAAACAATTTTTCATTACACAGGGTTTTATTCTTGTAGAATAAGAAACTATAATTAAGGAAAGTAAGATGAAAGTAAGATGAAGGACTTTTAATTGCAATAATATATTTGCTAACTGTTCCAGTTAGAAATATTACTAATAGAAACTTATTGACTTCTGTCTTTCCCATAAAGGCAACCGGTAACACTTCACAACATAATAGAACTAATTACAATTTAATTGACTGCCTTCTTTTTTCTAGGATTTAATACTTCAGCCAAATGACTGAGAAAGAGGACCAAAGATAATATGTTTAAACAGTATGCCAACAAGTTCTACATTATTCATTGACCAGAAATGCCGAGTGTTCTACTCTGCACCACAAATTTATGTCATTCAGTAACGAAAAGTTAAAGATGCTATGAAATTTCAGAAATGCAGGTAATGTTCATTAGGATAAGACTTAACAAAGAAAAAAGAGAAAAGATAAAAAAAGTCAGAGATCCATGAGTTTCCCTCCATATCAGAGGTCCAAAGTCTTCTATGGAGTCATACAATGTACAACTTACCTTTACATAACACTGAACTAAGAAAAACAGATGATTAACACGGAAGAGAATTTTGGAAACTTAATAACCTAAATACCAATTGTAACAAGCAAAGAAACTGACCAGGGATGGTCAGCATATGTCTTTTTTCCTCGCCTCAAGCTCAAAATTTTAGTCATGTAGCCTCAAAACCACCTTATTAGCTGAAAGACCTCCCGGGCAAGCAGATGCTAAAGTTTAAAGTTAATTGAGATCATTCCCAGTAACCAGCCACAAAGAAATCCAGATTAACTTATACCACCAGACCAATGTAATTGCAAGCATGATAGGCCTAAAGAACATATTGTAGCTTAGAAGCTGAAAGAGAAAACTGACTGCAACTGACAACTTAATTGCAGACCTAGAAGTCTGTAGAACTGACACTGCAACAATGACTCAATAGATTGTAGTGAAAAAAAAAGAACAGATTAAGTACAGTACCTACCAGCTCAAGATGAAATGAAGAAATTGAAGTTCATATCCTTTCACCAGCACCCTTTCAGTATGACTTTAAAAAAAAAAAAGCCAGAAATAGGAATAACTACCCACCAACACTCTACACGATGAAACTTGAAGAAAAGGCTAACTAAACTAAAGAAGAATAGTTGGATGATGAAAATGGGGTGTCAATAATTACCAAAGTTTTAAATCAATCGTCCCCAGTAGGAAATAATGTAAGAACCTTCCTTCCACCATTCCCATTAGCAGATTCCAAATCTTCCACATAACTACTGGGGGCTTGATTATGCCCTGGCGTCCCTCCCATCCTGTGCATTGGCTGCTGCGTGTGCCTGCCTAAGAAAGGATGCTCGAATTGGCTATTTGGAGATGACCCGTAAAGCCCCATTTGTTGTGGCCGATGATATTGAGACTGCAAATGAGGATGCCCTACAGCGGCCGCCGCCATTTGCTGTTGCTGGTGATGATGGTGATGCTGCAGCGCTGGCACTGGCACGAAGGGTAAGAAATGCTCTGAATTAGCCAGACCAGGATGAGGAAAGTGTGGTGGAACCGGTGAGCTTGCAAACAAATGGTCCGTCGCTGGATCAGTCGAGGCCCCTAATCCGGCACCACCAGATCCGCCGTTGGCACCGCCTCCACTACCACCAGACAAGTCTTGCATTCTCTTCAAATAAAGGCGATACTTTTGCAAATGACTCGCAACGTTTTCTCTAGTCAAGCCATCGACACTCATCAACTGCATTATGGTCTTGGGGACAGCGTTCTTGATCCCCAAATGAGCCACGGCGTCAACGAATCTCTTGTGGAGCTGCGGGGTCCACACTAGGCGAGGCCGTTTGAGAGTGCGCGCGTGCTCATCTCCGGCTGCCCCGGATCCCAGGTCCCCGGAATCGGCGGCAAATTCGGACAAGGAGGGTTGAGAAGGGGGCTGTAGAGCCGAGGAAGGCGGAGGAGGAGGAGGCTGTTGGTGTTGGGCATGGTTGGGATTGCGAATATCGAAGGCGAGAGCAAGATCAGGAGTAATTAGGGATTGGGAAAGAGGCATAAGCTCCTCCGGGGATGGCAGCTCTTCCTCCCATCTGGAGAACCAATTTGAGTCTTCTTCCCTCATAATTATTCACAGAAATAGAAACCCAAATTGGAGCTACTAATCAAAAGCCTCTTAGCTCACTGCACCAACCAACTAACCAACAAAAAGATGATCGAGTTTCAGAATTTACTCATATATTTGGGGAATTGATTATTCTTAAAGAAGAAAACAAGAAGAAGAGCAAGTGGAGAGGGGTTCGAGGTGGATATTTGTTTTCTTCTTTTCAGCTTTTCCCCATGCCTACACTGTTTCGTGCTTTTCTTATTATTCCTTTCCTTTTTTTTCATATGCGTCATTAGTCAAAAACGCAAACTAGTTTTTTAGTTAAGATTCTTCTCTCTTCATTGAATTTTTATTCTTCTTTTATTTTGTATGTATTTTTTGTTCTTGTCAGAAGCTCATATTATTCGATCCTATTAATGATATAGATGGATTTTGAACTCACGCCCCTTTCAAAAGCAGTAGCCACTATGCTAGGTAAATAGTTTGATATCAAATTTTTTATTTAATTTAAATTGTGTATTATATTAAAATTATAGGCTTAAACTTATAATAGTCTAAATCTTTTAATCCTTACGCTTGCTACAGTTCTTAGCCTTACACCTACTCTGTCCTACAATTTTCACCATTACATTTATGAATGGCTATGGATAAGTTTTAGTGGCAATTTTCCGATATATCATCTTTCATTTTTTTTCGATCAGATATTTTTCAGATTATATTTTTTGATCTAACATCCTTTGTAGAAAGGCACGTGTCCTACAGCGCGTTTAACGTTGATTTGACATCATGTGGGGTAAGACACGCCCCTTGAGACGCGCCTTATGCTGACATGGGATACACTTGTATATAGCGCGGCCCTTGGGGCGTGCCTTCGGCCACGTAGGATATAGCGCGGGACAGTGACCGCGCTTTACCTTTAACATAATTATATTAGGCGCAGACTAAGGGTTGCGTCTTAGCTTTATCTGATATAATTATGTAAGATGTGGTGTAGGTACCGCGTCTTGTAGCTTTTCCCGGCTATAAATACCCTTTCCCCCGGTAACTCCTCACATCTCCTCTCGATTATAAAAAATTAATACAACAATCCGACAATCTTTTCATATTTGATTCAGAAGTTCGTGCGATTTTTCATTATTAGGTAATTTTGTGATAATTTTTTTATTGTACTTATTGTTTATTATGATTATTTGAAAAAAATAGTATACTAATTGTTGTCAATTAATTTCTGTGTTTGTAAAATTAGAAAGCGGTAGCATACATCGAAATAGTTTTGCGGTACAAGTAATAATATAAAATTATATTATTTAAATTATTTACGTTTATGTGTAAAAATTTTATTGTGTTATATTTTCGTTCATATATTATTTATTTAATCATATTTGTTTCAGTTTTTTTTGCAGATATAATATTACCGCACTTTTAAACTCAAAGAATGGCGCGACTTTCAGCTATTGTTTATTATGATAGTGAAATTCGAGAAGATGAAACCAATGTTTTTTCGTATCAAATGAGCGTGTTAAAATATCATTGAAGAGAAACATAACTCTTGAGGAGCTGATAACGAAGATTTCGAGGAAGATTCATGTTGGAAGTAGTAAAAGAATGTCGTCGTTGCAGTACAGATTTTCAACATCATTGTTGCCATTAACTTATACAGCGTTCGAACTATCGAACAATGATGATGTTGAAATGATGGCTGATTCTCAAAAGTAATTATTCAGACGGCGATATTGAGATGTATGCAAAGTTTGTTCAAGTACGTGCTGTTCGGGGTCAATCATTAAGCTCCCACTATGGGCTGGCTGAACAAGTTGATCAAGTTGACAGCCCGACGACAGTAAAGTGTAATGATTTTAATTCCATAATGGGGAGACATTCATCCGCAACTCCTTAAGATATGTACCGAGGTGGGTCGAGAAACAATCCGTATGGCAACATCGCGTCCAATTCAAGGGGAAGATATTCATCTGCAAATCCCTTTGACCTTAATATGGAGATACCATCGACGCAACAATCTGTGCAATTTCCATTTGACACGATGACTTCAAGCTCCAGGGGGAGACATTCGACTGCGAGCTTTTTCGATCTGAATGTCGATATGTCCTCCAGTTCAAGGGGAAGACGTGCAAGTATTAGGTTCTTCGACCTAAATGTGGAGAGCATGGAGGAACCATCATCTCCACCAGAAGAATCGCTTTGTGAGCCTGGTGCGGATGGTGCTAAGACTGGACTATTCATTCACCCAGAATCACCGCAATTCAACTCCGATGATGTGGATGAAGTTCCAGCAAATGTGGCACAAACTGCCTTCTAGCACACATGTATGAAGCTGATTATGGTGTAATGTATGCGCCAGAATTTACGGATATGCCTCATCTCGGTGACTATGGATATTACTCATCAATAAATAATGATGAGTTATATTTAGGCATAGAGTTTTCAAGCAAAGAAGAAGCGATAATGGCTATAAAAAATTATAATATCTGTAATTATATTCAATCGAGAGTCGACCGCTCCACGACAGAAAAAATATGCATGCTATTGTGCCCGACGCGAAAACGGATGTAATTGGATGGTTCGCGTATCGAATAGGAAGAGGAAAAACAACATATAGGAACTAACAGTATACAAAGGTCCTCACACATGTTGTGTTGGAGGGGTCAACCAAGATCATTCCAACTTAGACTCGGAAGTGATATGCCAAGCCATCATCCCCATGGTAAAAGCAAGCTCTCATATAGTTGTTATTGTGTTGATTTCAGTTATACAATCGCAGTATGGGTACACTGTCTCCTATAAAAAAGCTTGGTTGGCAAAACAAAATACCATTGTCAAACTTCATGGCGAATGGGATGCATCTTACAACGAACTTCCAGGCTGGTTTAGGCTGGTACAGAGGTTGAATCCTGGGACAATTGTGGACTTCGAAACCTCCTATGCATATCATAATGATCGAGTTCTCCGTGATCGATGCCAATTCTACCGAGTTTTTTGGACTTACCTACAGTGTGTTAATGCTGTCAAATACTGTAAACCTATGGTCTAGATCGACAGGACTTTCTTGTATGGAAAATACAAGCAAGTTTTATTATTGGCAGCTGTCCAAGATGGCAATCGCAACATTCTTCCAGTTGCTTTTGCTATTGTCAAAGAAGAAAATACAGATTCTTGGGCTTTTTTCCTCCGAAATTTACGTACACATGTTATCACGAGGGGAAAATCTGTGTTATTTTAGATCGCGGAGCTGGGATTAAAGCAGTAATGAAGTCTTTGGGTCCAATGTGGCAACCACCCTTTGTCCAACATAGGTATTGTCTCTGACACATTGCTGCGAACAACCATGGAAGATACAAGAAGAATGATGAGAGTCAATTACTTGTGTGCATGGATAAGTGAAACTGATATAGTTTGTTTTCTTTCGATCTGGTTAGTAAGTTATACATTTTTTATCAGTTTACGAACTTCTTCCTCGAACGTTTGAATCAATGCTTCAAGATTTGCGGGCGAAGAACGAGGAAGGATACGATTACATCAGCCTCTGTGTCATTTCAGATCGCGGAGCTGGGATTAAAGCAACAATGGAGTCTTTGGGTCCAATGTGGCAACCACCCTTTGTCCAACATAGGTATTATCTCCGACACATTACTGCGAACTACCATGGAAGATACAAGAAGAATAATGAGCGTCAATTACTTGTGCGCATGGGTAAGTGAAACTGATGTAGTTTGTTTTCTTTTGATCCTTTTGATCCGGTTAGTAAGTTATACATTTTTTGATCAGGTTACGAACTTCTTCCTCGAACGTTTGAATCAATGCTTCAAGATTTGTGGGAGAAGAACGAGGAAGGATACGATTACATCAGCCTCATCGATAAAGAAATGTGGACGAACGCATATGATGGTGGATATTGATATGGACACATGACGACCAACTTGGCAGAGGCAATCAATTCAACCTTAAAGGGTGTACGTCACTTACCTGTAGCGACTTTGGTAAATAATACATATTTTTATTTGAGGGCGCTTTTTGCGAAGCTCGGGGGACAAACTCAAATATGGATGCAAGGTGGTCATGTCTATCACCCTAGATTAATTGCAGATCTACAGAAAAAAAATTTGCTGCATCAAATGGGATGTTTATAACAAGCTTTTCTAGAAGGCATGAAATATTTCGTGTCACAGAGTTGCCGCAACCTCTTCAAGGGATTGAAGCTGTGTCGTTAAGAGTAAATCTAAGTGATAGAACGTGCGACTGCGAGTTTTTTCAAGCTCTGAAATATCCATGCTCTCATGTGATAACAATTTACTCGCATACACGTCAAGACTGTAACCATTTTGTGGATCACATATACCTACTATCTAAAGTTTTTAAGGTATACGAATTTGAGTTCCCCCCATAGGTAATGATAAAGACCCTGATGGGGTTCAAGATTGGCTTTCGATTGTATCAAATCCGAGTTTATTGAGGGAGTGTGGTCGTCCAAAATCCAATCGAATTCATTGTGATATAGATATTCGAGAAAGATCTAGACAAGACAGAATATATGGGCATTGTAGAAACCCAGGACACACTAGAAAAACATGTCCACTTCTGTTGTCATCAAGTAACAATTGATGATGAAATGATGTAGTTGTTTATCAATTAATAATTATTGTACTTTAATTTGCATTTATTTCAAGTTAATGTTATTCGATAACCGCTGATGAAGATTAAAAAAACGATACAATTATACAAGATTGGATGTTTTCGTTATATTAATGAATAACTGATATTAACGATACAATAAGTATTAAATGATAAATGATAACCAAATTACAATAACTAATATTAATAGTAATAAACAAAATTAAGCAAAAATAAATTAACAAAAAGTTCAACAAATTTAACAAAATAAATTAAAATAAATCCAACCATATTAACGAATTAAAGTAAGTATTAAATGATAAATAATAAAAAAATTACAATAAAAAAGTCCAATAAACAACTACAATAAAAAGTACTAAATACAAATATAATAAAAAATAAAATCTATCGATGCTTGCG